TAATAAGAACCTGTGACTTGACAAAAACCTATGTCCTACAGTAGAGGTTTTTGTAAAAACCCATGAGAAATTTCAAGAGAAACCTCCATTGTGAATGCCTTAGGGATCCACTTAACCATTTTGGTTTTTATATTTATTATCAAGAACTCGATTCAAGAATTGCATCTTCTTCCCAGATTGAAGAACTCGATTTCATTTTCGTTTTTGATTTCGTTCCAGATTTCTTTTGAAGTTTCCAAGGTACGTTTTCGATTTGGATTTCGATTTCATTTCGGTTTCTATTTCGTCCAGATTTCCTTTGAAATTTCTAATAATATCTCTTTATTGTTCTTTATTCCATATTTCGTTTTCGATTTCATTCCATATTTTGTTCGAAGTTTCTAATAATTCCTGTTATCTTTCTCTATTCATCTTTCCTATAACCTAAACTAATTAACTCTTGTCTCTCAAGTTCAGAAGAACTGCTCAGCTGGATAAATTCACTTATTTCACTCAATTTTTCTGGTTCGGATATGCAACAACAATCCAAGGTCGCATACCCAGACGAAAACTAAATAGCTCAAAAGAGCTTATCTCCCCACTGCCTTCCATTCCCCTGGCACACACGTTTCCTTAAGACGGGCCTGCACAAGCGATGGAGTATGTGGTCTGGTTTAGATTGTTTCTGATTTCACAGGTTTCTTTGTTGAAATTTTCTGATGAATTGAAGGGTAAAACGATTATTTCTATATTTCAAACTAGGGATGTCAAAAAAAAAAAGCGAAACCGACGGTGAAAACCGAAAATCGAAACTTTCGGGCCGGGTTCGGGGACATTTTTTCTGGGATGGGGCGGGGATCGGGGATGAATTCGGGGATTTTAACGGATCACCGGCCCGGTCCGGTCCGATGTATATATAATATCATTAAAAAAAGGTAACATTAAAATTTAAAAAACTTTTATCCACTTTACCTCAACAACCCAAATAAAGTTCACGAAAAAGTCTAGTTTATTTGTCTAAAATCGTGATTTTAGTTGTATGATGTTGAATTTTTGTTTAGTTTTATATTGTAATCTAATACATTGTTTGTAATTGGTTTGATTATGTTTGAGACATTTAAACTTAGATCTTTAAAAAAATTGTAATTTACTTCTAATTGTGAAAATTAACATATTGTAATTTTTTCCATATCGGTTTCGGGTTTGGGTTCGGTTATAACCAACGGTGAAAAGGAGAATTTTTACCCTTAACGGGTTCCCCAACGGGGATTGGGGAAACCGCGGGGACCTTATAAGATCCCCGACGGGGATCGGGACGGTTACAGGGACGGTTTTAGCTATCGGTTTCGGGGACGGGGATACCAATACCCGGCCCGAACCCGGCCCGTTGCCATTCCTATTTCAAACGGTTGATTAAGTTAAAAAAAGTAAAACAACAGATTTTTATCTAGACATACAAATTTATCCATACAAAACTTAATGGAAAATTTGGTAAACATCCCCTTAATCAGTAACTGTTTACTTTAACATATTAAATATTCATACTAATCTTCAAAAAGAGTTTGACTTACATGTTTAGTCCTTAAAAAAGTTATATTTTTTAATTAAAGTTAACTGATTCGTCTCATTTTGTTAATTCAACATCCAGAAGGGGATGAGTGCGACTTCTATAATCGAACTTAAAGGTATGCATGGTTTGATCCAAATGAGACGATAATGCTCAATGCCGATTTAGAAAACATCGGTTTAAAAATATTACGAAACTATATTATAGTTCGTTTATACAAAGTATAAGATCAATCATTTAGGACAAATCAAATGTTATTGAAAATAAACACATTTTTTCTTGTTAAATCATAATGATCAATTCCATTTGCCTTTTGATTAATGCATTACCATTCATATTCATATTCATATTCATTTGAATTTAATTATGTTGTGTATTATCATTTTTATTTTAAATTGTATGGAGTATGGATGATAAAATTTCTTGTTAGATGGAATATGAATTTTTTTGTATGACCAATCTACATCAGATTTTAATATATAAACCTTATAAATTATACTGTATCACATTTTATAGTGTAGTATTTTGTGGTTTAAAGTATCTGCAATTTGGTTTGAGTTTTGAAAGGATTCTCAAATCACATATAAGGTTTGATTTTAGAGTTTTTGATTTAAACAATGTCATGAACTAGATTGGGTTGGGATTGACCGGCTTGAAAGCATATGAAAAATCTAATCCAGTGTTTACGATTTGAAACTCAACCCAATAACCCAACCCAACCAAACTGTGCGAGTTTGGTTGGGTTAAAATTTTGATACTTTATTTTATAATCTAGCTAAGTTATTGTGTTTAAACGAAATTAAGGGGGTGTGTGGGATTGCTTATAAAAACAACTTATTGACTTATTCCGGTATGACACCGGTAATAAACATTTTTTAGTGTTTGGATAAACAACTTATACCGGTGCTGTGATAATCAAATTCTGGTTATCACCTGAGGTAATCAATATGTGATTATTTGTTAAATAATTATGTAACAACCTGATAAATTGCCATAATTGAACATGTGAGTATGTGCATAATTATGCTAAAAATATAAATATGAATGGGGTATTAATGTGTTAGTATGCATAAAAATTTATATGCATGATTATGTGTATATTCTATATGCATGAGTTAAAATTATACATGCATGAAAAGGGGGTCCTAGCCGGCTTTCTAATTGAAGAAGGGGTATAAAAGGAGGGCTTAGCCTCCATTCTCTTTCTTGCAACTTTTTGAGCCTTGAGAGTGTCTTGAGAGAAGCAGTATCCGAATTGCATTTCACCAAGATTTTCATCTGATTTTCATAAGGTGAGTGGTTTAAACTGCTTTGGAATTTCTTTGTAATTGCATAACTAGATTATGTAAACTTTTCATTTTATTTGAAAATTTGAATCATTTGAGTGTTGTCCGGATTAGCCCTAAACCGGACAAGGGTTGGGCGATTTAAGCCTAAACCGGACAAGAGTTGTGCAATTTAAGGCATAAACCGGTCAAGGGTCGAGCGATATATGTCAAGCGGATTAGACCTAAACCGGATGAGCGTTGAGCGGTTTAGTCTTAAACCGGGTGAGGGTTGAACGACTTAAGTCATAAATCGGATAAGGCATAGGCGATTTATAAATAAACCGCCTGGTGGATTAACCGGATTAGATTAACCGGTCAAGTGTTGAGCGATTTATGAATATTGAAATTATGTTGAATATTTTGAACGGAGAAGTATGAATACGACCATATGTTGACCGGATTATTTTAAATCGGACAGGCCTTGGGCGATGTGTTGTCCGGATTTGTTATCCGGACAAAAGTGTTGAAATTCTCTTAAGTGTTAAATCGGACAGGTCTTGGGCAATGTGTTGTCCAGATTTGGTAAATCGGCCAAGACTTGACCGGAGATGAAGTCCGGCCAAGTCTATGTTGACCGGATTTGTATTATGACTTGTGCATGGTTTATATATAATTGTTTTTATATATATAAAAAAAATAGGAATTTTGATAAAGATGATTTTGAACTGATAATTCCATTGACTGCGGTCTAAATGGAATTGTTTTGTGAAATGTTTTGATGAGGAAATAAGGGTAGCATATCAAGGAGAGGTGTACCATGAGATAAGGGTGGCATATCAAGGAGAGGTGTACCATGGGATAAGGGTGACATATCAAGGAGATGTGTACATTTGGATATAATGGTAGTAATTGTATGTGTGTGATATATAATATAACTCTTACTATCATATCTCTTAAGATTACTGTGGTCTGAAATCTTTATTTCTTTGTGATTTAAAGATTTAGGATCATGGTTCTTATTAAAAATCATAGTCTGAATGTTATAGAGAAGGGGATAACATGTTTGGCCTGAAACTTTGTATAAACCTTGTTTGAATAGAAAATGTTTAAAAGTGATATTATGTTAATTTGGTTAATATAAACATGTTTAGAGTTTATGTATTATTTGCAAGCAAAGATTATTGGCCTGAAAGATAAAAGGTATTAATATTGTGTTCTCACTTGTTCATATATTTGTTATATATATGAAAAGTTGTTTTATTTAAGAGTTTTGGTGATTATCACCCTGCAATGACATAAATAGGGTAGCTCACTAGACCTTTCGGTCTAACCCCCGTTTTGTATTTTAAATATGTATTGCAGGTGGTGCTAATGGTAAGTGAAAGGGAAAAATGTAAAATTTCCCTATATGCATATCTACGTGAAGATTTGGCTATGTTATGTATAGTTTTGTTAGCCGAACATGAAACAGGACAAGATTTGTATTTTGAAATTTTAGACCATGTATTTTGTACTGGTAATTCTTGTACTAAGGGACCTATGTGGTGTATAAATATGTATTTATATATATGAATTATATGTTACATGCAATGTGTGGTATGGGGTGTTACAGAAAGTGGTATCAGATCCCGAGTTTAAGAGATTTAGGTATTCAACAACATGATACCTAGACTTAAACTGTTTTATTGCATGTTAAGGGTCCCGCACATAGTTAACACCATTGGAAATAAATATGATGAGTTGAAAGAACATTGTGTAAGGTAAATTTTAATTATATCTGGCCAATGTAATTACGAATTTACAGGTACACATCTGAACTTAAATACTTCATTATATTTGGGAATGTGAATACGTGATTATTAACACTAAAATCTGCAGATGTCTAGCCGAACTAGAAGATCTGAAAGAACGGCTCGTCCAGAGTCTGAAGAAAGGGAAGAATCACCTGGTAATCTCCCGACTGGCACATCCGGAATCAGAGGTCGGGGAAGACCAAGGGGACGAGGCAGAGGAAGAAGTCAGTCTCAAGGAAGGGGTCGTACTGAAATTCATTCTGAACCTAAAGAATCCCATTATGGGAATATTCAGGAGAGATCGGTGCCACACCCTGAATATGTAACCAGAGATATGTTGGCAGAATAGATAGGGAAATTACGGGAAACTCTGACTTCTATCATGGGAATACCAGCCAGGGTAGAAACAAAAAGAGTAGAAGTTCATCCTTCGGTACCGGTTACTCATAACAAGGAGGGAGATATTAAAATGTTTTTGGCATGCAAGCCACCAACATTTTCTAGAGAAATAGATCCAGTAAAAGCTATGTGTTGGATCAAGGAGATGAAATCTGTGTTCAACACCATTAGGTGTCCGGAAACAAATAAAGTACGATTTGCTGTTTCAGTCTTGAAATCAAATGTTTTGTTTTAGTGGGAAGTTGAATCATCGGCCAGAACGGATGCTTTACAAACATTGTCTTGGACAGAATTTGTAGATCGATTCAAGAACCAGTTTTGTCTTAAGACGACAGTTAGACAAATGGAGGAAGATTTTCTGAAACTGGAACAGGGAAATGGAACAGTTCGGGAGTATACTAAAAAATTTATTGAATATTCTCGATTTGCCGAACATTATGTTTCAACAGAATCCAGGAAGATAGAAAGGTACATTTGGGGTTTAAAACCTTCAATCAGAGAGTTTGTTATTGCTATGAACCCCAATACCTTTTCATTGACGCTAGATGCGGCCGAAGTGACCGAACGAAATAAGAATCGGCAGCCAGAAGAAAAAGTTGTAGAGAAAAGAAAGTGGGAGGGACCTTCATCAAATTTTCAAGGGCCGAAAACTGTAAGATATGATAACAAACCTGAGCAGAAGGTCGGTGAGAGAGTTTGCACGCAATGCCGACAGGTACATCAGGGTGAGTGTAAGATAGACCCAAGAAAATGTTATAAGTGTGGTGAAGCAGACCATCTGTCCAGAAGTTGCCCGACTAATCGAAGTTGTTTTAATTGCAATTCTCCGGATCACATTCGACCGAATTGTCCATTGTTAAGAACTCTGCAGTTAACAATGGTTAGTAAAGTATCAGGCTAGTATTTTTTGCAATCAGAAAATGATCAGAATTATTCTGCCAGATCAAGGAACAATTGTTATTTATGGTGATCGTCAGAAACACCATACTAGTATTTTGACCGTAATGAAAGCCCATAAAAGTATTCGAAAGAAGTGTCAGGAATGTTTAGCGTACGTAATTGATATGAAGAAAGTGAAAAGAAAAGAAAAATCGATTTCGATTGTTAATGAATATCAAGAAGTCTTTCCAGAGGACTTATCTGGATTAGCGCCGGATCGAGTAATTGAATTCCGAATTGATCTCGTACCAGGGGGCTGCACCAGTAGCAAAGGCACCGTACCGGTTAGCTCCATCTGAGTTGAAAGAATTGGTTGCACAGTTGAAATATTTGACTGATAAGGGATTTATTAGACCCAACACATCACCTTGGGGTGTTCCGGTCTTATTCGTCAAAAAGAAAGATGGGTCTATGCGAATGTATATAGACTATCGTGAATTGAACAAATTGACGATCAAGAACAAATATCCATTACCAAGGATTGATGATTTATTTGATCTGTTGGTGGGGGCAAGTTATTTCTCCAAAATTGACTTAAGGTCAGGGTATCATCAGCTTAAGGTCAGAGAGGAAGACATTGCTATAACAGCTTTCAAAACTAGGTACGGGCATCACGAATTCTTAGTTATGCCATTTGGCTTAACTAATGCACCCACAACCTTTATGGATTTAATGAATAGGGTATGTAAGGAATATCTTGATAAATTTGTTATTGTATTTATCGATGATATTCTTATATACTCTAAGACCGAAGAAGAACACGCATAACATCTTCGTCTAATTCTGGAATTACTGAAAAGAGAAAAGTTGTACGCAAAGTTATCTAAATGTGAGTTATGGTTAAGAGAAGTACAATTTTTGGGTCATGTCATATTCGAAGCTGGGGTAATGGTGGATCCAGCTAAAATAGAAGCAGTTGCAAGATGGGAAGCCCCGAAAACTCCTTCTGAAGTCCGAAGCTTTTTGGGATTGGCCGGCTATTACCGTAAGTTTATTCAGGACTTTTCCAAGATAGCCGTGCCATTGACTAATTTGACTCGGAAGAACATTAAATTCCAGTGGGAAGGAGAACAGCAAGAAGCTTTTCAATTATTAAAGAATCATCTTTGTAGTGCATCGGTATTGACTCTACCAGACGGATCTGAAGACTTTATGGTTTACAACGATGCTTCAAAGTTGGGGTTAAGATGTGTTATGATGCAGATAGGAAAAGTAATTTCTTATGCGTCAAGGCAATTAAAAGATCATGAGAAACAGTATCCAACCCATGATATGGAATTAGCTGCAGTGGTGTTTGCTCTGAAAATCTGGAGACATTATCTTCTAGGAACAAAATATCAAATTTATATTGATCATAAGAGTTTGCAACATTTGTTCAGTCAGAAAGAATTGAATATGCGACAACGTCGATGGATTGAACTTGTAAATGATTATAATTGTGAAATCCTCTACCACTCGGGAAAAGCCAACGTGGTAGCTGACGCTTTGAGCAGGAAAAATATACTTGGAGAAAATGATTAAGATTGGACTAACCCAAGAACTACACTTGACACTTCCTTAATCCCTTCACTACTTCTCTACCGGCTATTGGGGGATGTTTAAGATACACTTGACACTTCCTTAATCCCTTCTACTTTTCTCTCAAGTAGATCATCCTACTTGGAGAAAAGTTTCTTTCTAAATATTAGTAATCTTTTGGCATTTCGAGTTCTCTTTAATCGCTTTCTTTATTTTCTCGTTCTTAATATTCGTCTTTTATTTATTTACGCTTACTTGCACTTTATTTTCCGTCATTTAGTTATTACGTTTTCTGTATCCTTTACGTTCCATCATTTATATTCCGTCATTTACTTTCCGTATTTATTTTATGTCTTCATTTATCGCACTTTATATTTTTTGTCATTTATTTTTCGTCATGAGTAGCTAATTTTATTAGCTCGCGTGTATACGAAAAAGGTGAGTTTGTAAATCAAATATGGTCGACCCTTTCATGTAACAACGATGTTTTACTTTTTCATTTCAAGTTTTATAAAACCAATGACACTTCTTGACGAGTTGATCACTGAAAAGTGTTAAAATGTCATGCTAAGCTGAGCCATTGATTGCACGTCAATTTGGATGATATGGGAAGTAGATTTGAGAGAGTTGCTAACAAAAAGATTTGTTATCCGTATTTTCTAAATTGTTAATTCTCGACGGGTTGATCACTCTGAAGTGTTAAAGTGGAATGGACTCAGAAATGAGCCATTCAAAACACGTCAACTTGAATGATATGGGAATCCACTCGAGAGAGTGATTTTTAATAAAGAGATTTGTTTATCCATATATTTTGAAGACACCATTTGTCACTTTCACTGGTCTGGATACCTCATAGAGATATGGGTTAAATGCTATAATATCAATGCATTGGTGAAGTCCGAGAGGAATACCTTCAAAGTAATTGGTAAAAATAGTTGTTACTGATTACATGCTGTAGCAATTTGTCAGCATGGTCTCATGTTGTAGCATTTTGACAACATTGGTCTACTGGAATCATATTTACATCTCACCCGAAAGAGTCATACACCCTAGCTTGCTTTTATTATCTGTTATCTTCTGTTAATTTTTAGTTGTGTTAACTCAGTTCAAATCAAAGTCTTCAAATTCGCCTTCTGAAATCATTTCCTTAACTTTACTTTCTTCTAAACTTTTACTACAATCATTGTGGACGATATCCGGTACTTGTACCACTTTTATTACTTGAAAGACGATATTAAGACTATTTGTATACTTGCTTTTGGTCCTGATTGTAGTCTGTGGTGTGTTAGCATATCCGCGATCAATAAGTGATTTTGTAGAAAAGTATAAGTTGTTTTAAATAAGCAATCACAAACACCCCTAAATCGAAATGAGAACATACAAATAAGACTAACAAACTTAAAGAAGAAAATTAAAAGTTCATGCAAATAAGCAAGTAAAATTACGATTAGAATTGCTATATAATTATGAATATAACTAAATACAAGTTGGTCTAAAGTCTAATGCACATATATTCATTAAGGATTGGACGATCATATTAAATCCATAGTATATAGAACATTGGGTTCATCAGGTTAGGTATAAATGACCTTAACCTAATTCTAACCCAACACCTATAAGTTTAAAGTGTTTTCAACTTGTTTAACATATTGGGTTTGATTAGGCCATTTTAGATTGAGTTGACAGGGTTAATTGGGTTAGGGGATGTTCGGTTGCGGCTTAATGGACTGTATAAGCCATATGGCTTATTCGCACAACCATATCTAGTTGTTCGATGTAGGCTTATTCAGTCAACCCATGGCTGAGCCACTTAGCTACAAACCTTTGTCCTTTGTATTCAGCTATTAACTTTCCTCAACTACCCATCTCCCAACCCCTCTCCATAGCCACTCCTCCTCAACACATCGCCTCCATCCTTGAACATAAATGAAAAACACAGATCCAAAGGGTGAAACCTTTCAAACAAATTGATATCTTCCAAACTCCAAAACTCTTCATCCATGGAAACCATCCTCGTTGTCCATCGTCCGCCCTCTGCCTCACCACTCACCAATTGTCGCCTCCTTCTCCTCATCTGCTCCGACCTATAACATCATCGTCCATCAGCAGCCCACACAGGAAGGCTATGGATACATGTGTTATTTTTCCCGACAAAAATCGCTTGTGTTTTAATGTTTTAGAAAATTTCCAGGAGATTTCTAGAAGTGTTGTTGGATATTGAGGGAGAGACGGAGAAGGAGAGAGAGGGGGTGAGGGGTAAGTGACAAAAGCATTCAAATGAAATTTTTTTGAATTTATTGTGATTATATCATTAAATTTGTATATCAACTTAGATCAAATTGTTTTTATTTAAAAAAAAACTTGGAATTATATTTTTTTAATAATTATAAGTCAAACATTAAACATTTTTATCAAACAAATGTTTTAATAGTGTCCAATGTAGGTTGAGGGTAAAATGGTCATTTCTGACATTCCAATTGTTTATTCAGCACAACCACCGAACAACAACTTATCTGTTAATATACAAGCAATTATATCAATACAGACAGCTATATCCATACAGGTCTTAACAGAAAACGAACCAAATACTCTTTTAGTCAAGTTCTTGTACACGCTTGTCAATTGTCATAAATACCCCTCTTTTAAAGTACACTTAGGGAGCGTTTGGTTCGTAAAATGGAATTCGATGGAATTGGAATTCATCACATGAATTTGACTTTGAGGGAATGGAATGGAATATGATGGAATTTGACCATGCCTTGTGATTGCGTTTGGTTGAATGGAATTGTAATAGAATTCTTAACGGAATTGAATTAGGGAAGGAATCTGTAGGAAAAGAATTGAAATCCTAGCATATTGCTATGGAATTGTAAAATCTATGCGTGAATGAATCGACTGGAATTGAAAGGATTCCATAGTCTTATTCCATGAACCAAACATTCTATTTGGAATTTGGTCAAAGAATTATACATTTCAATTTCTTTCAATTTCCATGATCCAAACTAGAGATGGCCAAAAACCGGTCCCGGGCCGGTCCCGGGCCGGTCCCAATCGGTCCTCACATTTCTCATAACCGGTCCCGGCGTAACCGGTCCCGGTCTCGGTCCCGGTCCCGGTCGAAAATAATAGGACCGGTATAGGTACTCTATAACCGGTTATGGGCCGCCGGTCCCGGTCCCCGTCCCAACCGGTCCTTCATTAAAAAAATAAGATTTTTTTTTTGATTTTTTTAATGATATATATTTTTAATACATTATAAAATTTACAATTGGGTCACTTAAATACACTTTAAAAATGCGTTTTAATATAATTAAAATTACGTTTTCTTATAAAAATACATTATAAAATTATTTAAAAATACATTTATTTATAATATTATTTGAATTTTCGGGCCGGGCCGGGCCGGTCCATAGTCGGTCCCATAACCGGTCCTGGTCCCGGTCGGTCCCGGTCCCACGAAACTACCAAAAACCTTAACCGGTCCCGGTTTTCGGTCCCATAACCGGTCCTTACCGGTCCCGGTCCCGGGCCGGTCCTTTGTCGGTCCCGGTCCCGGTCCTCCGGCGGTCCCGGGCCGGGCCGGGCCCATTTGGCCATATCTAATCCAAACAGTCCCTTGCTAATTAGAAGACTTGGGTTTCTATCCGACTCTGAGCGCAGGGACTGTTTCGAAGCCCATAATAGTTGATAGGCCCACATTTGATCCAGAAAACTACAGGCTGTGACGCTGTGTCCACGACTCCACGTACACCATTGTATCCTGAGCTTAACCAATAAGTTCTGTTGGGAGCATTTCAAACGCCATTCAAATATTTTCAAGCGCGTAAACACAATCCTGCTATTTCATTGGTCCGTGTTTTGCACCTCCCTCAACGCGACTGAAACACCATGTTTCGCATCCGATGAATTCTTAGAGATCGAAAAATTGCACTCTGTGTATCATCGTCTTCCTTCACGGGACATACGAGAACCCTAGATTTCTAAATCTCTATGAATTTAGATCCGGATTTGTTTGAAGATCAACAAGGACAATCGCAGGTACACTCTTTCTTTGAATCATGCCATTTTTCTCATATTTTTCTTTTTTTTTTTCATGCTAGGATTCGACATAAAAACAAAATTAATTTCCCTTCTTGTGTACGATTTTTTTAATCTTCACGCCGTCGATTCAGATCAACGTGATTGGCATAGTTTTAATTCTGAATGGTTCTAGGATTTTAATTTTTGCCCTAAGTTTGTTTATTTTTTGAATTTGACAAGTATTGGAAGGGATTTGAGTTTGTGGTTGATGATGTTGGGAGGATGATAACTGCATTTGAACTGTTTTATAGCACATGATACGATGGAATGTGCATTGAAATGTATATCCACAAGATTCTGTAAGTCTTTTGGGGATTATTGTTGTGATACATTTTTATTTCATATAAGCGTCTAAAAATTTGTTTTAGTGATTAAATATTTAGGATCTTCCATGCTTATATTTTTTTTTGATTAGTAATATCATATATTGTGTGACCATGATCAGTATTTACCCCAAAATAGCCAGTTCAGATCTTCTAACATAATATTTCTCCAAGTCACCGAGCTAGTTGCGTTTAAATTTGAATTGAATAGTGCTTTTTCTTTTTAAAATCAAGTTTTCATTTTTATAATTGGTGGTATTGTCGGTCTATTTCCTGGGAAGGTGATTTTGTGGTCACTTTATCAATAAGGTAGATCTTATTAAGTTTTGCTCATTATTATTACTTTTCTATCTGCTTCAAAAGTCTTAAGTGCGTGTCAATGTATTTTTAGTTTTCTACTCCCTGGCCACACCGCCACAGTATGGGTTTTTGTTCTTTAAGTGCACAGATTATGAGTGTGATTTGGGATAAATCATTCACTTTTTATTCAATTTGTGACTCATAAGATTGTCCTGCATATACTTGATGTGATGCAGGTTATGGATTTTATGGACATTGATCAGGTAGTGGAGGTTCCTGACACTCCTGAGAGATTAATAGCAGCATGTAGTAATGATGGCAACTGCATAGGAAAAAGGAGTGATGGATCAAGTAGTTGTCGTCTGATAAATAAGGAATACTTCAATGAAAAGCTGCGAAATGAGCCAAGGGAAAAAGGCAAATCAGTCACTGCTCATGGGGGTCGAAGATTGTTTATACGTTCTGAAAATCACAGCAATTCTTCAGGTTCTACATTAGGGAATTCATCTTCTTGCAAGAATGTTTTGCCTACAGTAGATGGTGCAAATCATGAGAAAGGGAAAGCTTCGTGTAATTCTGATGTTCAAAGGTCTACTAGTCAAGAAGACAGTAGTTTTGTTGATTTGACTGAGCAAACCAGGCGTGGCCATGTATTTGGACAGGCTACATCAACAGGAGTTTCAGGAACTGGTAGTGCACATCCATCTAGAAAACATCGGTTTTCGACTTTTGGTTTTCCTGCAGTAGATGCATTCGATACATCAAGCAAATCATCTGGATTAAATAAACCCATCAAATTTACACTGAGATCCGACCGTGGTAAAGGAGTTGAAGTTGGAGCTCAACATAAAGCTGAAAGCAATTCGTCTTCATTAGCTAGCATATCACCGAGAGTCAGTAGGCAGAAAAGGTTGGTGCGAAATGGATGCATATCTCCCCATAACATAGCAAAATCCAAACAGGTAGAAGAGAAGCATGACATTGGGAGGGTGACAAAAGACTTACGGGTTGATGTTGGTACCATAGCATCTGATGGTCCCTCAAGTACAGTTGATGTTAAGGATCTGGTCTCTGAAGCTAAAGATTCACGTAGACTAAAAGGAAAAGGAGCATCTCTTCATTCTTCTTCTGAAGAGCCTGATGCAAGAAATGGACATTTGTCTCAAAGGTAGGTCACGAAATTCATTGTTAAGACCACTTATGTGAAACAGAGTGGGTAATAAGTTTTGCGATTCTACTCAATTTCTGTTACTTTTTGATTTTCTATTAAGTTTGATTTACTATCTGCTTTCTGATCTTCCCTTTGCTCTCTGCTTTCCGAAACAAGTAATTTACTTTTTGCAGTGGATTTCCCTGAAATAGTGGCTTATCTCAACGGCATGACAAGTCCACAGCCTCTTTTTTGTTGTGGATTTCCAAGTATTGGTGGTCTCTTTGTAATGGGCAATATGTGCATATTAAATTATTTTTAGTTGGAACTCGGAAAACTAAATTTTAATAGAAGTGCAGGGAAATATTCGCGTAGTTTTTGGTGAGTACATCCTTTTGAAAAGGGTGTACTTTGCCTTACTACTTTTTCATAGAAGAGCATCAAGTCAAATTAGGCCATTATAATGCAACCAAGAGAGTACCTTTAATATAATATCAGGAGTAGTTAATTTTTGTTGGGGGATTAATGAACTTGGTCACTTCACATTTGTCTAGATCTACTTATCTAACAAATTTGTACATGAATTCAAGGAAAGGTCCTAGTTAAACCAATCACACAAGTTTACTGATCGTTTCTCTTCAGTACATGGGTTGGATTTGCAGCTAGTCAATAAAATACTTCTTGGTGGGTGTTCCGAAGATCTGAGAGATCTTTGGCCAAGTGTTCCAGATTTTTGAGCAATTTTTGATTGAGATACATCTTGAATGAACTGCAAAAATTATGAAGTATCGTCTGAGTTGGTATTCCATAGAACTTGCAATAGAGTTGATGCTGTTGGGAGAGATCTTGTGTAAAGTTAATACTATTGACCCCATGATTTACTTGCAGGAGCTCTGTAATTTTTAAAGAAGCAACTGATGCTAATGAGGATTCAAGTGTGGACACATCTACATGCTTTAAAGAATCAGATGGATGGATAACCACGCACAACACTATGAGAAAAGTAGATCACCCATTGGTAGATGGTGATCCACGTATATCAAGAGGTAAGGCTGCCTCAAGGTCTGCCATTAGCCAACAGAAAAATGGGATGGTACAAAAGGATCATAGAGATGGAAGTATCTCTAGTAATATTAATAATCATTTTGAGGATTTGGAGATACACTCTACCCAACATGTGCCTGCTCCACCTGAGACCATGTCCCGTCGCGCACATAAGTTGGGTCAATTTAAGGACCGGGCACAATTTACAAAAAGACAGAGGGAGGGTGTTGCTTCGAGTAATACTGGGGAACGTGCTGTGCCACTTCCCAATGACTCTGAGATTGCAACCCTTAGACTATCTGAGGAACCTTCAACTTCAAGGTCAACCAGGAACAAGAACCGTCGTGGTGCTGGTGCCTTGGATCCAGTAGTTGCACTTGACGAGTCCTCTCCTGAAGTGGGAAACCGTGGCTCCAACACACACCGTAGTAGTACCGAAGATCCAAGTTTCAGGGCCCTACAGGTTGAAGCAGATGAGATACTGGCTAGAGAACTGCAAGAGCAGTTGTACAATGAGGAGCTGGCATCTGCGTTTGGAATTGATGAGGTTTCCAGTCTGTTAATCTATTACCCTCTCCCTCTCAGAATAAATGTCCACGATGAAAAAAGCATACAGTTTTAGGAAAATTATTAATTTATTACACTTTTTAATCAACTAAATGACAACTTTACCCTTGACAATAGTGGGAGTAATGAATTTATCCATCTCATAATTAAGTGTAGAATTGAAAAGTATGCACTTATTTTGCCACAATCTAAAGAAAATATGGACGCTTATTTTGAGACGGATGGAGTATATCTTCCCTCTTCGAGATTGCTGTGTACAATTAGATCTATGATATATAAGTATTTACAATTTCTTATGTACCGTAACACAGATGGATTCACACCATGCATTTGCAACGGCAATGCAGCAGGGACACAGTTCAAATGCTATTCATGCTGGTGCTCGTCCTCCATATCGTCCTGCATCTGTATGCCAGCCTTTTAATTTCTTTCTTTTTCTCTTTTTTGCTCCTTAAAGAATAGCTATAAGCCTGATGTCATACATATTATTGAATTTGTTTGCTCTTAATCATGTGGCCGTAAATCTTTACTTTTTGCCCAAATATGTTGATTAGGCATTGCGCATTTCAGTATAGTTGAATATTTCCTTAATTTTATCTTGCAATATGGCCTTTGATGCTTTTATTTGCAGGTAGCATTAGCTTATGACTTGTCAGTACAATGTTAAAATATAATATCCTCAAGTATACTTGGAACTAATTGGTGAGCAAGAGAAAACACTATAAAGAGCTGAAAACTTCAATGAAGAATTACTGTTACTTGGGGCTTAATAACCCCAAATTTCTAATTGCTTATAAATGTTATTATTACATAATTTCTACCCAACTAAACATTAAAAGACCCCACATTTAAATTAATGAACCTTTTTTTGTCTTAGTCTCATGGTTCCCGTCAATGTATGCTTTCTTCCTGAAGAAATGTTTGTATGGTTATGCAGAGAGGCTCGTCAACATCAAATTTGTTACAGCACTCTCGATCAAATCCTTCCCGTAACCCTTCAATTCTTAGGGGGGTTAATGGTCAAGCTCCCACCTCCACAAGATTGGCTCGGTTGAGAGGTCGTTTTCCGGGACGCCCTCGTACACTATCATCTACTCCAAGGAATTCAATATTTCCTCCAAACATGGATGTGGACATGGTACGAAACTGTGGTCTCACTATTTTATTGTCTTAATTACTATTTTTATTTTTGCTAGTTTCTTAAGCTACATTGTTTTTTGTGCAACAAAGAGAAATCTAATGTTTCTGTTTTTGGTTTAAAACTGAAAGTTGAAGCTTATTGTATGACCATATTGACATGATCCTAGCATCTTTGGATACCATATTCCGTTTCACTCGCAATCTCGTTTCAAGATACCAGTTTTTACATTTGCCACACATTTCTTGAAATTCTTGATCTTCATATGTTTTTAAATGAACCCACAGCTGTTCTATTCAAGAGACTTGATTTTAACTTGTTTACAAGGCTATATTAGATTTGTTTCTTTTGGGATTTCTTCAATTTGCAGCATGTTGATTGTAGATTTAAGTTTTTGGGCTTTCTCTCTTTCACTAAGCAAACGAATGGACCTCTTTAGGATTCATTTGGTTTGCAGGATTGTTTTTGAGGGATTTGGATTTCATGGAGGGATTTGGATTTGGAGGGATTTGGATTGGAATGGATTTGAAATCATTGGTGTGTTTGGTTTGTAGGATTTGGAATGGAATTAGATTCCACTATTTATAAAAAAATTATAAAAATAATTAGATTACATTTTTATTAATCGATATTCGATTATTACAAAACAAATGTTTTAAACCTTATTGCATACAATCTTACAGAATCCCATGAAATTCTGAGCACCCCCTAAGGATTTCAAAATCCCATGTTTGTAGGATTTCAATTAAATCCTAGGATTTTAAATCCGGACAACCCAACAAACCAAACATGGGATTGGAATATTGAATCATAGGATTTTAAATCCGGACAATCCAACAAACCAAACATGGGATTGGAATGTTTGGTTTGTTGGATTGTCCGGATTTAAAATCCTAGTATTTAATTGAAATCCTACAAATATAGGATTTTGAAATCCTTAGGGGGTAAGGATGCTCAGGATTTCACGTGTTTTTCTAAGATTGTATGCAAAAAGGTTTTAAAAATGTTAAAAACATTTGTTTTGCAATGATCGGAAAATAAAAATATAATCTAATTATTTTTATAATTTTTATATAAATTATTTGTAAAAATGGAATCCAATTCCATTCCAATCCAAATCCCTCAAAAACAATCCTGCAAACCAAATGGACCCTTACTGCTTTTTAATGGGTTAATAACCCTTTAGTAGATCTTTACTGTGATAAAGAGTTGTTACCTTGTCTTGTTTCTGTTCATTTTACATGCATGTTTGATTTCTTGACTGCAGAGAATGCAAATACTGGAAGCACTGGAGGCCTTTAATGATATGGAATTGCCTAATGACTTGTTACAAATAGGACGTGAATTTAACGAGTAAGATAAGAAGATACAATACAAGTTTCTTCGAGTCTCTTGTTTGCTTTTCTTTTAAAACTTGTAGCTATTGTCTAAATTGTGTATTTACCTTCAGGAACGATTATGAAATGTTGTTGGCTCTTGACGATAACAATCACCAACATGGAGGTGCAACTCATGCTCAAATAAATAGTTTGCCCGAGTCCACGGTTCAGGTAAATGCATACGTTACTGGAATGCACTCATGCAGTACATAACAAAAACTTGTCCACGTTTGGCCCAACATTAGACTGGGACTGTATGGGACAAAAGTGCACTTTTTTTGTCCCACCAAATTAGGTGGAACAAAAATTAGAGAGATTAGACAAGGTTGGTAAATTATTAAACTACCCTTGTCAAATTGAAACCCTAAAACTTTCCACAATTCTTTCGCCAACCTACCTCACTCTTGTCTCTCCAGTTCTATCAAGTCCAAATACCAAACGACTGCTATTAGTACTTACTCGTGGTGCAACATGCAGGCTGAAAATCTTCAAGAATGTGCAATTTGTCTTGAAACTCCTACCATCGGTGAAACCATACGACATCTTCCTTGCCTTCATGGATTTCACAAAGATGTATGCTCTCTTACCTTGATGTAACTTTTATTTTGCTTTCCAACCGAGACTAATCATCATTTTTACCTTCATTTCATATCACAGTGCATAGATCAATGGCTGAGAAGGAAAACATCATGCCCAGTATGCAAATCATCGGTCACTTGATTTGCTATTTTGGTATCTGGTCCCATGGCATTTTTGCATCAACTGAAAGCAGTCTAGTTTTGGGATTTTAAGGTGAGTTGACTCGATCTCTACTATCGAGGGACTTAACTAGTAGATCTGCTGTTGCTGAAAGGATGCCATGGACTATGATTAGACAAATGTGATGCAAGTTTGTTTTGATTATAACCATTTCTTGGGGTATTATCGGGATCATTTTTTGGGTCTTCGGATGTTGGAGATCTTTGAATGCCATTTTTGGAGGAAATCTTAAATCTTAATTGATCCTCATGTTTTGGTTTTTCCTTGTAAGCCTCTTGGTATGAATGTCAAAATTTTAGAATGGTATCTGGGATTTTTATTGCTTATATATCCGAATTTGGGAGTTGGTGAAGGATCGTGTGAGAAGCGTAAGAAGGGATCTAGGCCCTTGATCACCTTTAATCTCAAATCCACCCATGAGTCACGCTTGATATGGGGATTGATCCAGTTCATCTCATCCTAATGTGCATCTAAGGGTGAAGATCTCTTCTTACACTTTTCACCTTTTAACTCTTCTTCTCACCAAAACTCAATTCTTTGGGAGTCTTGGCGTTTGATATATTGTGTTTGGATGTAACAAGATCTATCCGGTATGATAATGATACCAGTGTATGTAATGTTTTATTTGTATTTCAATCTCTAATGTTCTTGGAATAGCAGGCAATGCGTTGGAAGCCTTGTCTAGCATTTTATTAGACAATATGCTAAAGCTTAAAAGATGGTTAGAGAGATTCTCCAAAATGGAAATTTTCATGCTCTAAGGCATCTCCAATAATATCAAATCCATAAAGATTCGTGTAAAATATGTTCAAAAAATAAGGGCGCGTATACTAAATGCTTACTTGGTAAGGGCTAATCGGATAAATATCTTTATCAGATGAATATGACAAGGGCCAAGAATTTTATCGGGTAAGAGCGATGAGAAAGATAGAGAGTCTTACCCAATAAGTGAAGATGACTGTTCTTACCCAGGTAAGAGCTTACCCCGTAAATTGTTGCATTCGATATGTCTTGATGTATTAAAATCTTATGCATCAAAATAAATTATAGAATTGACTCGTATCAGTGAACACTTATTGGATAAGCATTTGGATAAACAACTCTTAAGTCTACTTCAACATATGACACCAAAATATAAGATTTTAGATATATTATTTTCTATTAATGTTAAATTTGGCATAAATAAATAGTGTTACATCAAAATTTGGTATCTCCATTGGAGTGATTTTTGGTGTCAGATTTCGTGTTTGGTGTAAAATTTGGAGATTGACTAAGAGGTTCTTCAAAAGTCTATCCAAAGTAGGAGAAAGAAGGTAAAATTCTCCATATCAGAAAAACAATGTAAAAGCGAATGCTTAGAAGGAAGACATAATTTTATTATTATTATTTCAATCAATAAATTTTTTAAAAATTAAATGTTTAAGAAAAAACAATGTTTTATTAAATATATTAAATATTTTAATAATAAATATTAGTTGTTTACAAGGCACATGCCTGGTACTCATAGAAATTGTTCACAACTCGTGTTCATCTACAAGGCTTTGTGTGACACATTAATATGCTCCCTGCGATACATAATGCTGACGGCCTTCAACAAGCAATTTTCCGACTTCGGCGTTGCCATCACCAGCCAACATCGGAGACAAAAAATTATATTATAAATTAACAAATGATAAATCAATCGATTATTTACAATGTAATCTCTCTAAAAGGAGTTCCACACGTCTTCAAAATCATCTCCTCTCCTCCAAACTTTTTTTTACACTAACACAACTTTAGTCGAATTAGAGCAAAGCTCGAACATTGACAATGGTAAGGATTTCACGAACATGTCTGAAGCATTAGCATTTGTATCTGTCATCACCAAATGAATGACTTTATCTTTGTGCATTGTTACCACTGATGACATACGTTCATATGTTTCGTCCTTGAACTGAATGCCAAATTATCCGCTGTGTATAACACTTATGGCTATAACATATGACTTTCACATCTTCCAGGACCTCCCTCATATATAAAGCATCCTTTGTAACTTCAACGACATAAATCAATTCAACTTTAGCAGTAGACAAAGCTATGATCGTTTTTAGTCTTGCTCTCCAACTTGTAAGCATATGTAGAATCCCATTAATCCATTATATTACTCTCCAAAAGAGTCATTACGGAGAACGAGATTACAACAAATACAGATTCAAACGTGAAAAGGTTCTTTATGATTCTTGAAGAATGAGGGGGTAAGGGATTGATCGAGAAGTGATAGGATGGCCTTTCCGTATGGATTATATTGCTACCAAATTTTCTGAAATAGAAGTTCACTGAACGATAAAAAGCTATTCCAGTTCTTTACATTCTATCAAAAAATAATCTATAATAACTTGTAAGTAGCAACAGGGGTATGACTCACTAATACGATATAGACTACTCTAATTAAAAGAAATAATTGAAAGTTATCAGTACTGTTATTATCTGTGACATTAATGGTTACAAATTCAGATTTTTTTTCCCAATCTTTTGTCATTTTAATTAAAAAACATTACCTTTTATAATTATATTTTCTTTTATATGATGGTAATTATTTTGTGGGTTGCTTGTAAAATTTTCTGATCCGGTTCTCATTGCAATATTTTGGAGCTAAAACGTTTATATGAGTAAGTGCTTACCAAGTCACATTACTTTACTGTATAAATATGATGAGAGCCAAAAATCTTATCCGGTAAGAATGAAATAAATACCAAGAATCTTACCCGATAAGTGAAGATGACAACTCTTATCATAATTAACACTTAACATGTAAATTATTATATACAATGTTGTTTTCGTGAATTTAGATCTTATTCAATAAGCAAGTAATATTGTCAAGGTGTTAAATTGTTAAATTTTTACTGAAATAGTTCATTTTAGGGGGATGGGGTGGGTTTGGTAAAAACTAAAATGGCACGTAAGCCTTGATATTTTAAGCCCACTTATCTTGGCCCAAGATCACCATCGGCATTTGGCATTTGGCATGTCCAGCGTTTTTGCTGGTAACGATTCTGCAAGAGTGTCCGCTGCCTTTGCACCGCCATCGTTATCCTGCAAGCGAACGCCGTCGTATAATCACTCCGTCGTCTATCTCTGATGGAATTTGACCTTTAGAGTAAGTACTTACTCCATTAGATACATGTGAAATTTTGATGTTAATGATTGCTATTCAACATCACAGTATGTTTTTGGAGTTCGAATTGATGTTTGAATCTTGTAATTGTTTTCCTCCGTCCATAGCAATTCCACATTTGAATTTAGAATTTGGATATCAAAATGAATGAGTTGTTTTTGTCGTAGATTAACAGTTGTGGAGTTACATTGACCAATAGAAAAAGTAACAAATTTTGAGTTAATAAATCAAGATAAGCTGTGTCTACAACGATATGGAGGGAATGATAATGCTTTGAGTTCGAATCTAGATAAAACAGAACAAAAATCCTTTTTTAAGATGTTGATTCAGGCTGTCGAAACCTTCAATAGGGTTTGTGTTGTTGTAAATCCCCTAATTTTGTACACTCTGGTTGAGTAAACGAAAAGAATGAACATGCTTGTTCAAAAGAATTTGACATTCCTCATTGACTTAAGGTGGTATTTTTGAAGCATGAGTCCTGAATTTTCTAATTGTGTTGAAGCAACTTGATCCATGAGGGTGCTACACGGGACATTACAGAACAGAAATGTGTTGTCCCGCGGAATGGAGTGGCAGAAAAATCACCAATATAGATGGAATTTTTTTAGGGAAATGGACAAAATTGGTTATGAGTGTCAAATTAAAACCCTGTAACCTTTCACAATTCTTTCAACCACCTATGACCTACCTCACTCTCGCTCATCCACTCTTATCCAATCGAGTTCTGTCAAGTCCCATCCACATACCAAATGCAACAGGTAGATGTTTATGTATCCCCAACCCACAATAGTTGGAACACACTATGGATTGTCATCTTGTTTTATTGATAATCAATTTAGTTGTTATGGTTGGTCTCTATTATGGATTTTTGACCACTATTTGCAGAGGATGTTTCTATCTCTTCCTTCCAGGAGCTCATGTTAATGGAAGAAGGAGATGTAAAGCGAAGACTAATTGTAGACAACAACTGATTTTTATAAATTGTGATTTTTAGGATTTTTTGTAATCTGAAAAGTATCTTACCTGAATGATTTGTATAGCAACTTATACTGTCTAGAAAGGATTCTTTCTCAGCGTCCTTGCGTATCTTTATTTGATTTTATTTGGTTCGATGTCTACAGAAATGCATATCCGCAAGCTCATCGAATTAAATCGATCTTGAGGGTATTGATTGAGGCAGCTGTGTTTTCTTGGAAATGTTAAGGTCCAACGCAATCGCTGGTCTAATTAGACCAATGAGGCAACTTGGTATATTCAGAGTGCCAATCTCGAACTGCAGTCAGCTCACAGTGATACAAGATCATATACCCACCCCAGTTGATGAAAATTACTTACAGGACCATTTCAACATAGGAAAGGATGCTGAAGGGATAGGAAAGCTCCAAAAAACTTACAATGTGTCCAAAAAGGACAAGATCAGTGTTCTTGTAAGATCACTTCTTGATCTTGAAGACAGTAAAGAAGCAGTCTATGGTGCACTTGATGCGTGGGTTGTGGGGGAACGGGAATTCCCTATTGGACGGCTTAAGACAGCACTGATTGCCCTTGAGAAAATGCAAGAATGGCATAAAGTTGTGCAGGTTATTAAATGGATGTTAAGCAAGGGGCAGGGTGTGACAGTTGGAACATATGGACAGTTGATACGTGCATTAGATATGGACCTCAGAGTAGAAGAAGCAAACAAGTTATGGGCTAAGAAACTTGGTAGGGATGTGCAATCAGTGCCTTGGAAAGTATGTGATATCATGATATCTGTGTATTACCGGAATGAGATGTGGGAAGAGCTTGTAAAGCTTTTCAAAGGCCTTGAAGCACATGGTCGTAAACCCCCAGATCAATCTATAGTGAAAAAAGTAGCTGAATCATATGAGAAGCTAGGTTTAGTTGAAGAGAAGGAGCGTTTTGTCGAGAAATACAAGAGTTCATTCACTAAAACACGGGGAAAATATGGAAGGAAAGCAAGCAAGGAATCATCGGTCACAAAGATTTCCTCATAGACCAATGAGTGGCTTAACGAGGAAATTAAAGAGCTTTATTATTGGAATTCTGGGTCTAAGTGAATTCTGAAACTATTGAATACGGGTGCAAATATCTTGGAGTTATAAGTAGGTTTCTACTGTGGACATGAATGGATCCTCCAAGTGACTTATAGCCACAATATTAAGCACCTTGAAGCTTGGCACATTGGATGTACATCATGAATCAAATGCTTCATGCAGTTTCTTTTTCTACTTTATCTATTTATAACAAGTCAGTTAAGGTATCTAATATATATTTTATCCTTTCATAATCTTCATTTGTGGTCTATACAGATGGACTAAATACTTTCATAGTCTTGTATGTACATCATCCCATTCCCATATGTTCATCTTAATTCGGGTCATTGGTCATTTGTCCTGCTCAGAAAAGGTATTTCTCTAACAGCCAATCTTAGGGGCTGTTTACTAAACGCTTACTTGGTAAGTGCTTACTCGATAAATTTCTTCTTCGGATGAACATCACGAGGGCCAAAAATCTTACCGGGTAAGAGTGATGAGAAGGATGTAGAGTCTTACCCGGTAAGTGAAGATGGCGACTCTTACCCAGGTAAACACTTACCCGGTAAATTGTTGCATTCAATACGTTTTGATGTACTAAAATCTTACGCATCAAAATAAATTATAGTGTTAACTTCTATCTGTAAGCACTTACCGGGTAAGCATTTAGGTAAACAACCCATTAACTCACTTTCTCGAATCAAGTAATGGCAAATGAACCACCATCACTATGGAGGAGTATGTACAACCCTAATGGGGGTTTAGTTCGTAGAATGTTTTATGAAAGAATGGATTTTGTCAAATGAATTTGACTTTGAAAAAATTAGAATGGACATTGACAGAGTGTTTGTGTGATAACCGGATATTGGTTATCACCAAAGGTAATTAATATGTGATTAATTGTTATATGGTTAGGTGAAAGCATGATGAATTGTTATGTGAATTTGTGTATTTTTATGCATAGGATATATATGCATAATGTGAATACATGTATGAGGTTGTATGTATGAGAGTGTGCATGATTATATATGCATGCATGAATGGTTATTCATTAAAGGCATGCATAAAATAAAATGAGTAT